ATTTATTTATACCCCACCCTCCCCTGCCAAGACCGTGCTCAGGGTGGCTAACACTGAATATAAATACAGTAAAAACATTTTTTTAAAAAACCCAGTTGATTAAAATATAAGTTAGAATACAGTTTAAAATGCAGCTTAAAATGCAGCTTCGTTTTAGTGGTAGCCTATAGATCAAAGCCATAAGGGAAGAAAATGTCAAATATTCACCTGGGCCAACTATCCATGCTGGTCCTACATGGGCCAGCAAGAAGAGCCGAGGGAAAATTTATATACAAACATTTATATTGACAAAGGAATCAGTCATCAAGCTATTTGAATCATAAATTTTTGCAAATTTCACTGAAAGATAAATCTACCATCTGTTTTAATAAGTAATACAGGGTTCCAGAATAACCTTCATCATTATAGCTACTCTTCCAGGCTAAAGTTTTGTTTTATTTATTTGCAGTATTTATATAGGCCTTTTGTTCTCTGCCAAATACATTTTCTCTAATTTAGTGACTTTCTACCACCTCTTTTAATATGGAGGCAGATAATACCAACGTTTTCCTTCTCATTAGCCTTGCAGTTTTCCATCTTTTTAGAGGCAGATTAGTCCTTTGATGTTCACAGACAAGGTCTTATTTATTGTTATGTATAGCTGCTGCTCAGTTCAAGAAAAGGACAGAGGAAAAAATGGGGCGTAATATAGAAATAGAATTAACTGACAAAGGCTAATTATCCTTAGAAGGAAATTTCTTATTTGAGCTAGAAACAAAAGCAGAGGGAGAAGCTCGTTTTAGCAAGTTGGTCAAATGTGTAAAATCAGTCGGGCGTCCTCTGTTGTGTGTGGAGGTCCCCAAGCCACCCCTCAAAATAAATCACAATTCACATATAATTTTAGTTTAAGGTTTTTGGCATAAAATTTTGGGCCACAACTTTATTAAAATACATAATCTGTGAGTGGTTGCTTAGGCATTGGTTATGACTATCTGTCCCCCTGCCTGGGACAGAACTGACTATCCAAACTCCCTCGGAAGCCAGTGAAGGGATAACAATGTTGGGGATCAGTTGAGCTGAGCGTCAGTCCCTCACCGCTCACCCAATCTGCTCCCCAAGGCTTGCCGGCCCTGGTCCCATTTCAGGGATTGGACGAAATCGTGACAAGCCCCAGGATTCCTTTAACGGAATTCCCTTCCACCACCATTGGAGGGGCAGGCCCAGCCTATCCTGACCCCTCTTCCACCAATTTTTATGACCAATGCCTAACCATAACCTTACAAGTTGTGATGAATTGCTAAGTAGTAGGCAAAAACCAGATGGCACCAGCCAATCAGCCAAATGGCAAAATTCCTACTAGGCCCTTGCCCCAAGGCAGACGACCCCATGACAGGCAAAGCAAGGTCAACTGGAACACAGGGCGGGCGGGCGGGTGATCCGATGCACATTGCGAAAGAGAAAGCAGAAGCAGTGAGCCCCTATATTTAAAGCCTAAGGTCCCACCCACCCAATTTGCCCCAGCAACCCGGTCATCCAATCGTTGCTTCAGGCCATAACCATTTAACCTGCCTGGCAACAGAGGTTTGGCCTGGCAGGACCCCCCCCCCCCGCAACCCGTGACCTCATTCAGGGAGAACACGCTTTGTTTAATGTTGTTCAACTATAGATAAGGCCCAACAAAGCTTCTTCCTCTACATCTTGTTTCCAGAGACCCAGCCTTATTCTAAAAATATTTAATTAATAGGGAATGTCTCATTGCTACATATTTTTTTTTCATTCAGACACATCATCTGTGCTTATGGGTGTGTACCTATCACAACCTCAATTTTTTTTTTACCTTTTATTTCAAAAAGGTCATCATTTCACATTTTCCTCAAAATAGCCTCCTTTCTGCAGATGCCGATTGCAGAGACATCTCTAGCCATTGTCCTTTAATGGGTTGAACTTGCATTAGCCCTCTAGGCTAATCCAATGGCAGCTGGACATCTGAATGTCAAATCCTTTTAAACCTTTGAAATTGTTCTTCCGGATAGCCTAGATTCCCCTTGAGTTTGGACTTTGAACTCCTCAGGAATTACTCCTGAGCCTCAAAGTGTATTTTCTCAGAAGAGAAACTACCCCTTTTGCTCTTCACTTGACAAAAAACCCCGAAGAAATGCCTCGATTTCCCATCAATAGTTAGTGAATCATTATTGCTCAACGAACGTGATCATCAACACTTGGAGAGAGATCAAAGCTCAGTAGTGGAGCACATGTTTTGCATGTACGTAGAAGGTTCCAGGTTTGGTCTCTGGCATCTCCAGTTTAAAAAGGATCACATAGTTAAGTGATCTGAAAGATCTCTATCTGGGATCCTTGAGAGTCACTGAGAATCAGAGCTGTTTCCTCTACCCATCAGTTAACTTGGTTTAGCAATCCGTTACCAACTGATACAGCACATAATTAGGTTGTTCAATTATGCATCTGTTGCCAGAACAAAGACTTGTGAGTTTCATTTGGATTCGTTCAATTATTTTGTCTATTCAACCTTTGAAGATCTGCTAACTGTAATTAAACCATGCTCAGTTCAATAAAAGACTCAAATGATTACAGTAAATCATGACTAGAGTTCCTTATGATTGATAGTTCAGTCCTTGCAATTAAGCAGTAGTGCACTTCATTGAAGTAGTTCAGTGGCTACAGAACTTCACTCGATTCATAATAATAGTTGTAGTCAACAAATGGTTATCTTCATTGAAAAGTTCCATTGAATAGTCACCTACTAGTTCCAAAGCAATAGGCCAAAATATGAGTTCAAGTGGCGCAAGGTGTAAGTGCATCTGGCTGTTAACCAGAAGGTTAATGGTTCGAGCCCCCCACCCAGGGACGGCTGTGGGCCAGATTCCTGCATTGCAGGGGGTTGGACTAGATGACCCTCAGGAACCCTTCCAACACCACAATTCTGTGATTCATCATACAGCAAGCCCAGGTTGTAACGCATCTCTTCCCAATACTTTCCATAGAATGTGGTCCTCCTGACTGCTATGTACCATGTATCAGGAAGTTTTAAACATTTTATCATTTTTAAAATTTTCTGCTGGAAGCTGCCCAGAGTGGCTGGGGAAACCTAGCCAGATGGGTGAGGTATTCTTATATTATTACATCAGCTTTCCCCTCTGTGCTCTCCCCAAGTGGATGAGTAAACTCTGCTACGCAGTCATACATGACATGGTCCTAGTTCCTGCAAAGGTTTTACAGGAGGGAAGCAGCAAACTCCCCTTCCTCAAGTACAGTGGTACCTCAGGTTAAGTATTTAATTCGTTGCGGAGGTCTGTTCTTAACCTGAAACTGTTCTTAACCTGAAGCACCACTTTAGCTAATGGGGCCTCCTGCTGCTGCGCCGCCAGAGCCCGATTTCTGTTCTTATCCTGAAGCAAAGTTCTTAACCTGAAGCACTATTTTTGGGGTAGCAGAGTGTGCAACCTGAAGCGTATGTAACCTGAGGTACCGCTGTACAACTCTCCCAGTCCTTCATTGGGGCGAGGGCTTTCCAGTATCACAGGCGAGTGGTTCAAACAGAAGCAGCCATTGATGCCCTGCGGAACTTCCAGCACATTCTTTTCTCAGCCTCTCACATATGCACAGGTCACACCTTGCCATTTATTATTATTATTATTATTATTATTGAATCTATATACCTGGAGGTCTCAGGGTGGTTCACAGAATAACATCAAAATAGAAAACCACAAGAGACATGATCAAAATAAAAACAACAACCCAATAACCCCCACCCCACCCCCCAAAAGAAACACATTTTGCTTCTACAGTTGGAGTTGACATCATAAGAAGCAGAGTAGGGAGGCGTAATTTAATTCTGCTCCCATGTCAAGAATGATTTAATAGATAGTTTTAATTATCCATCTCTATCTGATAGGGATTGCAAATCAATCAAACTATGGCACCCTCCATTCTCTTTATATTTCAAACATAGCGTTCCCATCCCATTCCCCCCCCCCAAAGGGGCTGTGTGTTAATTGGGTTGTGAACTGCAGGCAACAAGTGAATTAGATAAGATGTGAATTAGATAAGAAAGTTTGTAGGTCTTGGTTCTGTTGTATTTGAAAGTTTGTAGTTTTTAGCTGGCATCTGACTTTAAAGTTGCTGGAAACCTGAGTAATAAAATAAACTTTCTCTCTCTCTCCCTCCCCCCCCCCTCTCTCTCTTTGTTATTCTCCCAACATCATGGCCAGGATCCAAAGAACCGACGGTTCTTGTCTATAGCCCAGAAAAAATGTAGCAGTCTAACTACTTAAGAGCCTCAAGTCTGCTCAAGTTGGTTGAAGCAACTTGACAAATCCATTATGCCATTTGTTAAGGGTTCTTGTGAAGCTTCATTGAGTTTTAATCACCAGCCAACATTTTATAGGCAGTTCCTCTCCATTGCCCAGTACTGTGCAGATGCTCCACTTAAAGTCTTCTGTTTTAGCAATCCCTGCCTTAAATGTACCTCTACTCAACTCTCTTGGTTGCTTCCAAGATTGTGATAATGTTGCCCTTATTCCTCCATCATTTGTTGCTGCCTCTGCTTGCCTCTCTTCCCACATCTTCCCAATCAACTTAGATCAGGCAAACTTGGCCCTCCAGATTTTTGGGACTACAACTCCCATGATCCCTAGCTAGCAGGACCGGTGGTTAGGGATGATGGGAGTTGTAGTCCCAAAACACCTGAGGGCCAAGTTTGCCTATGCCTTAGATGCAGGTGGGTGTTGTGTCAGTGATTCAGGCTGCAGCCAATCCATGCCCCCTCTGGCCCAGCTGTGGTGGATCTAGTGAGCTGCAGCAGTTAGGGCTGTTCCCAGCTTCTTGACCAACACATGTGAAAAGAAAAAGGCACTGGGTTGCTGTTTTTCTTTTCTTTTTTTGTGGGGTGGGGAACAGGACTCCTGTTTATGTTTGGCTGTTAATGGCTATGAAACAGTTCATTGCAGCATGTCAGTCCATCACCTCAAGACTCTTCCTTTTGTTTTGTTTTTTGTTTGCAGATTTTATTCCTCACCGTACAGCATTGCTACAAACCGCATGATCCCACAGACATCTATCACGCCATTCATTGCTGCTTCCCCTGTCTCTACATATCAGGTATGTTGGAACTGCATGGGCCCCCCGTATCCCTAAGTGAGTCTTTGTGATTTGCATGTCAGCATGGTGAATTGCTGCACACTTTAGTCACGCTGTTATATAAACTGTTTTGGTAGCGTTTAAAATATATGTGCATATGTGTTCTAAAATTCCTAATGCGTTCAGGATCTAGGTGTACTTTAAGTAATAAACCCTATTATGCATTCGTCATATTTCAACCAGCTTTTCAGATAAATCTCTGGTTTTTTATTTTATTTTCAGTCAGTCAGTCCTACCCAAAACACACATAGGATGTTTTCTTTTGCAATGGGTAGAAGGTTGCCAGAATATACTTTGTCTCCTTTGGGTTTTAACGCTTCACTCTGAGTTTGTTATATCTGCCCAGTGAGATGTACTTCTCTTTAAAAGTACCCATAAACTAAAACCTTGATTTTACAGTAACCTTGGGTTGAAGTAGATTCGGGATAAGTATTTTCGGATTGCGCACTGCGGCTACCCGGAAGTAATGGAGCGCATTACTTCTGGGTTTTGCTGCTTGCGCATGCGCAGACGGTCAAAATGACGTCACACGCATGTGCAGAAGCAGCGAATCATGACCCGCAGGTGCGGGTTGTGTTCGCTTCTGGATGCGAACGGGGCTCCGGAACAGGTCCCGTTTGCATCCAGAGGTACCACTGTATTTATTTCATTGCATTTATATTCCACCTTTGTTCCAAGGAGCTGAAAGTGGTGCACAGGATTCTCCTCTTCCTCATTTAACCCCCCCCCCCAACAAATCTGTGAGGTAGGTTAGGCAGAGAGGTAGAGGCTGGTCCAAGGCAGGTGAGCTTCGTGGCCAAGTGGGGATTTGAACCCTGGTTTCCCAGGTCCTAGTCAGGCACTCTTAACTATTCCACCACACATGAAGACTGGCATTAAGAAAAAAAGGGGCGAGCTGTAATAAACAATCATAAACATTTTTTAAAAAAGGTTTCCTGTGTTATCAACATAATGTATTCTGGGCTTCCCTACTCCCAAGGGTATCTTCCACCCTGATTACTGTGCTGCCTTAATCTGGCAACGTTTTGTTCAATATTTCCTGCAACAACTTCTGTCACTGCTTAAAATAAACATTCTGCATAGCTCTTACCAGAGAATTGCACTTTTCTTTTTTCATGGCTCCTTAATTCCATGAAAGGGACATGGGTGGCGCCACAGAGCCTAGGGCTTGCCGATCAGAAGGTGGGCGGTTTGAATCCCTGCGACGGGGTGAGCTCCCGTTGTTCGTTCCCTGCTCCTGCCAACCTAACAGTTTGAAAGCACACCAGTGCAAGTAGATAAATAGGTACCACTCCAGCGGGAAGGTCAACAGCATTTCCGTGCACTGCTCTGGTTCGCCAGAAGCGGCTTAGTCATGCTGGCCATATGACCCGGAAGCTGTACTCCGGCTCCCTCGGCCAGTAAAGCGAGATGAGCGTCGCAACCCCAGAGTCGTTCGCGACTGGATCTAATGGTCAGGGGTCCCTTCACCTTTAATTCCATGAAACAGAGGGCCATACTACAAGTGGCAAATTGAAAGGAACCACCCAGGGGGGTCCCAGTCTGGATTGGGAGCCTAGTAATGAGGAAACCATTCCCATGGGAGTGAAAGGGACCTCCCCCACCTTCATGATTTTCAAGTCCAGGAAGCCTTCTCAACACCATGTGCCCAGAAGCAAGTCTAGGACTTCACACAGTTCTTTCTTCTGCATGAGAGTTCACCCATAACAATAGGTGGCAGTGCAATTTAAGTTTTCTCTTCCAAACTAACACATTTTGGCTATATTTTACATTACCTTCAACATTTTATCAGTCAGTCCTGCAACATTTTCTCACATTTCTTTAGATACTGTCTTAATGGATCTATGTGTCCTGTGTATGATATGAGAAATAATAGCACATTGTAGAATATGCTTTGTTTACCAGGGGTTTCTTAGACAGTGGATTTATATAACTTTAACTTGATTACGGAAATGCTTATTAGGTGAGCGTAGAAAGATTTGTTAGCTTTTTGTATCCCTGAGTATGAAAGCACATACTGCCTTAAAAAAAGGATATCTGACAAAAGCCACTTTGAACAAAAGGAAAAGGTAACCCTTTCCTAGATTATATTCTGGTTTTCTGACTTGTATGCCAGTGATTCTCCTTTTCCTACATGCAAAGCCAAATCAAAAAGCCCTTATTAATGTGTAGAATAATAACTGGCCATCACCAGGCCATACAAATAACTGTCATACAAATAACTGTCCATCACCAGGTATGTATCAGATAAGAAAAGAGTAGAAACACCACAGAATAAATAAATCAGTTGTTAGCAATAGGAGTTAAATATTGAGGGACTGATGGGAGTTAAAGGAGACAAGTGATTTTGTTCAAGTTCAGTTCATGCAGAAATTGTGATGATAGATAGATGATAGATTAGATGATAGATAGATAGATAGATAGATAGATAGATAGATAGATAGATAAGCTTATTTAATAGATGGGCTTTAATATTCTTAGGGTCCCACGTTTATAGGCTAATGAAGGGTCCAGTTACAGAGGCTGACAAAGCTCACACAGTTACATGGTTCGGAATACAAATTTGCCTGTTTATAATGCTCTAAAAATTCTGAGACAAACATTTTTATTTTTATTTCCCACAAAGTTTTTCTACAGTCTGAAATGAAAACCATGAACAGTCCTTTCAGGTGCCTCAGTTGTTCTGTGGAAACTACAGCGTTTGCACCCAATACCAAATATAGTTTTCACTGAACAGCTGAAGCATTTGGGAGGAAGTATTCAGTCCGTTTGGTAGAAAGTGGGAATTTTTTTGGGGTGGGGAGCACAGGGTTGGCTGGTTTTCTGGCCAATCCGTTCTGGTGAGTAGTCTGGTTGTTGTATTGAACAATTGCAATGTTCAAAGGCAGCCTCATGTACTATGGAACTGCATAAGCCTGCTCTGGATGTTGTTCATATTATAGATAGTACCATATGTTTCCTCAAGGGAATTCTGTTATTTAGCCGCAGATGATTCTGTTGAGATTGTGTTTTCTAAGTATATCAGAGGGACAGTGCCATGTTGATAGCTAGGAGAGGAAGGATAATATTGAAGAAAATGCAAGGAAGCTAGAGGTAGAGATTGTAGGATTTCTTATAAACAAAAGTGTCAGCAGAAGAGGATGTCAATCACAGGAATAGATGAGGTGACTGAACACAAGGGAATATATAGCGTAAAAGTTCTAATTTGTTTTTAGGGAAGGCGGGCAGGTAAGATACAAATCTTGCTGCTTTGGTGGCTATGAAGTCTGATACTAACAAGTAAAGGCAGTGAAGAAATATGGGTTATTCAAAAGAGGTTAGGGAAGTTATTTTGAATTTTCTGCCTAAGGATGTTTCAGGAGTTATGGCAGTACATAAAAGCAAAAGAATTTTATGTGAAATAGGTAGATAAGATACGGAGCGCAATGGGCAGATACAGGGGAACAACTTTTGTTTCTGAAACATCTGAGGAATTAAAACAGATTCTGTGGAATGAGGGGGAAAGTATTTGTCAAACAGAACCGAGAGGGGGAAAATGAGTACACAACCCAGAAGGAATAGGTGTAAACTTAAAAGGTTTTAAAGTTTTTTCAAGAAAGGAAGACAGAAGATGATGTTTAAATGCCTTTTGAGATATACATTTAAATGGATGAAAATCCACAAAGGCAAAAAGAACGGCGCAAACTGTTTCCTCTGTAGAAGACTTATCAAATGAATTAGCAAAGACAGAACTTGGAAAGGAAATTTCCAGTTCAAAGAAAGCGTGCAGTTCCATTTCTCATCACCAAGTGGCAATGCTTCCTAGCCAAGCTTGAAATTCACTTGGTGGTATTTGCCAATTATTTCGAAATCATCACTTTTACCGCTGCCTGAAAATGGATCATCCCCTAATGAGAATTCATACCAACTGGTGGCAAGTGCCCGATAACCTGTAGTCCTAAACGCTGATAATCAATATTTGAAAAAAGTAGAGCCTTTGTGGAATGTGCGCGTGCACACACACACACACACTCCAAATTGTGGTTACTTTACTTTATTTGCAATCAGTTATTCATATTCTATTATCACTTCTACAATGCAAAGTTGCTAGGGAAATCGGAAACATTTACTAAAAATGCCACCAAAGGAAATGTAGTTGTCAGAGCAATAGTCAGAGTGAACTTTGATACTTATTGACTCAGACAACTTGAATGGGAAGGCTGCAATGTCATCAGAGTATTTTGCTTGATTTCTAATTGACATGAATGACATACTTTGGGGAGTATGATCATCTCCCTTATGGAACACGATTTGCTCAGGCTCTCTAGAACCATGTTCCTCTGTTATATGTTGTGTTATAGTAAAAGCTCTGTAAATTGATCAACAAACAGTGAGTACAGTGCACTTCTGAGTAGACAACACTGGACTATAGGCCTGATATAAGACATTTTCCTATATTTCTAGCTGTTCTTTGAAAAATATTTATCCTATGACCTAAGGGCAGTGACAGTATTCATTGAGAAACTGGAATATTTTCTGAAAGGCTACTGAACTTTTAACTGCCTACCAATAAGAATTTAATTAGGTTACTTAGGAATCATGCTTCTCAACTTTTGAACTGTGTTTTTAATTTAAAGAGGATTTGGTCAACATAGGATGTGCACATTTTTTGCTCAAGAGCATGCTAATTATTCCAGAGTAAACGCTAGTCATCATTCTCTTGAGTTGATTGATTTTCCTGGAAGCCCATTTATGTAATGTGAAAACTGTCCCTTAATTGTCTAACTCTGTAACATATTGCTTTGATTGAAGCCGATAAATTTTATCACAAACACCAAAAGCCTCTGTCAGTAGTACACTTGTTTGTGTGTACATTGTGTGTACATCTTGTGTGTACATTGACTCAGAACAAAGTTGTGTAAACCAGGGGAATATGCCCTCTCAACATAAACTTGCCCTGGCTCTGTTTTAGTTGCAATATTCAGCATTGTTTGTTAGTTTTAGTAGCATTGCTTGCCCATTTATCAGCATAGCTGTCAATTTACAGATTTGAAAATAAGGGACCAGCAGCCTCGAAAATAAGGGATCAGCAGCCAAAATAAGGGATTTTCTAGGCGCAGGTATGTTCGACTTCTGAGCCCCTCCAAGCCAAAGGCAGAAAGCCCAGCCAGCAGCCAAACGAAGCCTAAGCGGTGGTTCCCACAGCGCAACAACCCGGCAAAGGGGATGCAGCAAGGAAAACCACCGTCACCTCTCCGCTGGGAAGCGCTGAGCAAAGGCGAGTCCCCAGGCAACGCGGCTGATTTGATCGGCACAAGGCATGCAAGTTCCACCCCCCAGTCATTCTTAGACTCCTTATTGGGTGAGCAACGCAGCCAAGCAACACAGTTGGAGCCTCCCTCCTCCCTGGCCGGCAGGGAGGGAGGGAGAGGAGCTGCTTCCTTTGAAACCTGGGGAATTTAAGGGACATCATCAATAAGGGACAGCAGCGGGACACAGCGCTGGGATAAGGGACTTTCCCGCCAAATAAGGGACGGTTGACAGCTATGTTTGTCAGGCTCTACTTTCGCACAAGATTTCTCTCTATGGGCTGCCACCTGCATCAACCTTGCAACTGTGCTCCTACCTGCAAGGTAGACTGTTGGGGACCAGAAGGATGATCAGAATTGCTGCCATGCAGTTTGCAGGATGCATCTGAGCAGCAGCATCAATCTTGTCTATGAGCAAGGCCCTGCTATTAAGATTTAAAACAAAAATCTGTAGATGATATCTAGAAAAAAATTACATCCATTAACTTGCAGCAGTGTGGCTGCAGCATTCTCCAAAGTGCTACAGCAAGTTTCAATTTGCTATGTATTTTATTCAAAGCAAGATTATTGCCAAATTTGGGTGTGTGGTTTTAATTTTTTTTACACCATTGTGCTAATATAGTGCTTTCTGATACACAGGTTCAGAGTACTTCATGGATGCCTCATCCGTCATACGTTATGCAACCAACAGTAAGTGAGCATACATAAATTCTTGTTTCTTCTTTTTTCTCTGGGAGTTAGTGGAACTTGAATTTACTGAGAGTAGTATCAGCTGCAAGACAGCTAAGGATTAGTGGAACAGTTATTAGGCAGATCCAAGTTGATAGATTCTGTGCATCTTTCTTGTGTGTGATGCTAACACGCACTGTAGTTAAAAATCATATGCACAGTCGAGGGCAATATGGTTCAATTTTCAGCTGTGTAGGAATTCTTGAGTATTGAAGTTTCCCAGGCTGAGGTTTAGTCTGACTTTTAGAAGACATCTGAAGGGAGCCCTGTTTAGGGAAGTTTTTAATGTTTGCTGTTTTATTGTGTTTTTAATACAGTGGTGCCCCGCAAGACGAATGCCTCGCAAGACGGAAAACCCGCTAGACGAAAGGGTTTTCCGTTTTGGAGGTGCTTCGCAAAACGAATTTCCTATGGGCTTGCTTCGCAAGACGAAAATGTCTTGTGAGTTCCTGCAGGGGTTTTTTCCTCCCCCCCCTTTTCCCAAGCCGCTAAGCCGCTTATCAGCTAAGCCGCTAAGCCTCTTAACAGCTGATCGCTAAGCCGCTTATCAGCTGATCCGCTAAGCCGCTTAACAGCTGATCCGCTAAGCCGCTTATCAGCTGATCCGCTAAGCCGCTTATCAGCTGATCCGCTAAGCCCGCTAATCTGCTAAGCCGCTAACGGGCTTGCTTCGCAATTCGAAAAAACCGCAAGACGAAGAGAATTGCGGAACGGATTCTTTTCGTCTTGCGAGGCACCACTGTATTCTGTTGGGAGCTGCCCAGAGTGGCTGAGGAAACCCAGCCAGATGAGCGGGGTATAAATAATAAATGATGATCATGATGGCGGCGGCTTGTGGGAGGAGCCATAGCTCAGTGGTAGAGCACTTGCTATGCATACATTCCTGTGTGGAATCCTTGGCATCTTCAGTTGACATGATCAGGTAGCAGTAGATTGGAAAGACCTCTGCTCTGAGACCCTGGAAAGCTGTATGTCACAGTGGGTTAGAAGGACCAATTATTTAACTAAGTGCAAGGTCACTTTATGTGTTATGGAGTAGCTTGGCCTTCTGCATAACCCTGCTAAATAGTTATGAGAAATTTAGTGTGCTTCAGGTGTAGATGTGCATCAAATCCTTAATGACAATAAGTTGACATTTTGATAATGGGTTCCTATACTACTGGTTGCAGAATTTTGGGCTAAACTGGAAGTTTAAGCAGAGTAGGATCCAGAAAATAATTGGGACAATGCTGTTTGAGGTTTTGCGTAACGATTCCTGGGTTGGCGTGTTGACCCTTAAATCTCCCTGCCTGCTTATTCTGCCAGCAAGGGGATCAGGGCAAGGCCCTAAGTGGGTTCCAGGTGTCAGGTGTGCTGAAGACATCCCTTAGGGGAGCTCCCTGCATTCGGTCTGATTTGCACGGAAATATTATGTTAGTAGGTATGCTGCTTGGGAGGGTTCTGTGCTCGTTAATGATGGTAAGGGAATTGCAAAGTAAAGTACACTTTGTGTAGTCTATGAGTCATTACATTGGGGAGAGCAAAGGGATTGCACTCTTGTGTATTCTCAGTTGCCAGGATGAGCACATCTGCTGCTACTCCTGTTTCATTCTTTTAAAAAATAAAAAAGGGTCTTTATTGTTGAGAGGAAGGAGCCGTACTGAATTGCTGAAATATTCAAACGGATGCAAGCAGTGAATCAGAGATGGCATTTAGAACTACTGTGATTGGTTTGGATGACTCCTGTTTTGATAAGTGCTCTCTAAAGCATTTTTTTAAAAAATGCAGCTTATCCGATATGGTGAAAATTCCAAACTTTAGTATCGTGACAGCTTCACTGAAAAAGAAATAAGTATGTAACTTCCACTTGTCTTGCAAGATAATGGGGAAGACTTGTTGTGGTTGAGATTTAGCTGGATCCAAAGACGCTTCCTCCTTTCTGGATCAAGCCCAATGAGTATTTGCAAATTTGCACAGCTGTTCTGCAATATATGGAATAAAATGGTATTTTCTTAACATATCACTTTTGTAAGTGAAATTTGCACCACTATTCGGGCTTTGTTCCTGGTGTGCTTAGAGGACCTGACAGGGCACTTGATAAACAGTGGCTTATGAAAAGGCAATCAGCCACCAGGTTTTGTCTGGTAAATAATTTTGCCTTGCTCCTCTTGACAGTGAGCCCTTGATTGTTTCCCGTTTTGGATTTCAACAGTTTTATCAGAAGCGGCTCAGTTTGAAAGTATTAAGTATACAGAGTCATACACTTAATCCACTGGACAATTTTTGTCTACTTGATTTGGAGATATGGGAGACTGATAGAAAGTGAGGCTTTGGTTTATTTTTTGGTTTTGGTTTCTGGGCGCATCAGTTCACTTCTCAATGTAAGTATGACTGTTATAATAGATAGATAGATAGATAGATAGATAGATAGATAGATAGATAGATAGATAGATAGATATAGTCCATCTGCTAACATAATAGGTTTTGGTAGTGAGTTCTGCTGTGCATGAAATTATGGGAATGACTTTTAGTGGCTTGGAGTAAATATGCGTAGAATAGATATAACATGCTCACCTACATGCAATATTACTCTAATCCTGATTTGCAGCACTCTGGCTCATCTGCCACTGCTGCCCTCCAAGTGCTATTTTTAAGACCCCTCACACACACAGTCTGCAGTCATTTCAACTGTGTTGAAATCTGCAACATAAATTCGAGCCTCTACAATTTACATGCAAGAGCCATTTCTATTCTTAAGCTGGAGGCGAGGATGTCAGCCCCTTTAAACCACATATTTTCCTCACTTACATTGATAATTCCTTGCTTCGTTACAGGTAGAAGTAAAATACATTCTGTAATATTTCTTAACGCTCTAGAATTGTGACCCTTACGTACATGGCAGTGAATCAGATTTTGGAAGCTAGGGCATTTATTTTGAGCCTGAATCGCCTGCATTCCTGCAAAAAATAAAATAAGAAATGCTTAGGATTTTAGTATTAAAAACCAAGCATTTCTTCATCCCTCTCACAGAATAGAGCTTACTGTCATGCTGGCAGTCCTTGGATATGATTCTGCACAGTGGCACACAGTACACTCCTAACCATGTTTACTTAAAAGTATGCCGTATTGAATTGAGTAGGACTTACTCCCAGGTAACTGGGGTTAGTCCAGTTACTGACATCTCCAGGTAGGGCTGGAAAAGACCCCTGCTTCAAACCCTGGAGAACTATTGCCTGTTAATGCAGACAGAAGAAGAAGAAGAAGAAGAAGAAGAAGAGAGAAGAAGAAGAGGAGGAGGAGGAGTTTGGATTTGATATCCCACCTTTCACTCCCTTTAAGGAGTCTCAAAGCGGCTAACATTCTCCTTTCCCTTCCTCCCCCACAACAAACACCCTGTGAGGTGAGTGGGGCTGAGAGACTTCAGAGAAGTGTGACTGGCCCAAGGTCACCCAGCAGCTGCATGTGGAGGAGCGGAGACACAAACCCGGTTCCCCAGATTACGAGACTACCGCTCTTAACCACTACACCACAGTGGCTCTCAGTACACAGCTAAAGGAGCAATAGTCTGACCTGTTCTATGCTGAGCTCTTCCCTTATAGTTAGGATGCCACATTATTCTTCCAATGTAACGTTAGAAAATTATGAGCATGCCACATTATTCATCTAATTCACCCCTCTCAGAGGTGCCAGCTTCTTCATAGGATTTTTTTTTTGGGGGGGGGGTTGCATGATGTTGTGAGGAGCCAGGGGGTGGAGCCGAACACCCTCTGGAAATTGAACGCCCTCTGGAAAATACATTCAGGGGGCTGAAACCACCTCAGCCCCTAGGGGTCAACACCTATGACCCCTCCTGTTCAGAATGTATGGATTCCATCTCTTTTTGCATTTCGGGATATCACTCAATGTTTTCATGAGATTAATCCTTTATGGATTCCTAACTTTGAAACCAACCAGGGTTTCCCCTAAACTAACCAATGACTTCTGAAACCTATTCATAAATTTACCCAGCAGTTACCCTAAAGGTAACCTTGAAGCCTGTGCTTCTAGATAGATAGATAGTGTATATTCAGCCATTTCCATTGACGTGTTGTTCTTTTAATTTACTATGGGCTATTTTGCTTTATTGGAAAGCCTCCAGATTGCAACATATAATTTTAATCCTTTGGATGCAATAGCCTTAAATAATTTAAGCTCCTTGTGTGTCATCACAGAACTATCTCATTACTATAGTTACTTTACGTAAATTGTAAGTTAAATTATAAGCCCATTTGCATCTGAATAGAAAAGATGAAGGAAACTAAAGCATAAATTTCATACACAGATACGTTTGGTATCCAAAATGAAACATAATTAGGTTCACCTACACAAGAAAATAAACATAAAACATGAAAATAAAATTGACAACTAATCTCTCAAAATTCTGTGCATTTTAATTCTTTGAAAATGAGTGTGCTAAAACATATAAGGCTGAAATAACTTAGCCGGTACCAAAACTCAGCAGAGCAATCTTCCAGTATTTCTTGAGGGAGAAAATCAAGGGCTGCCGCATCGATAACCTTGATAATCAAGATAGTAATTGGCAATGTCTCTCTGGGACTAGTATGTCAGATTGAGGTCACATCAGCCTTCCTCATGCTCTAATTTGTGGATGATCGTCTAACAGTTAGATGAGAATTCACCTACAGTTCGAATTGGAAAATGCCCAGAATGTGCAGTACAGAATTTATCCCTCCCTTTGGGAAGATGAAGAATGCCACCCAAACTGGTAGAACAAGCTGGACAGACTTTTAGCTGAGGGTTGAAATAGATACACAGACATGTACAACTGGGTTGAATAAAGATCACATTATTGAACATTAAACCAAACCTGCTCTAGGATACTGTAGGTGCAGGAACTGAGTACAGTCGTACCTTGGTTGTCAAACGCCTTAGTATTTGTCCGTTTTGGCTCCCGAACACCGCAAACCCAGAAGTAAGTGTTC